TTTAAAGGCTTTCCCTTTCAGACTGTCGGATGAGGTAACCATCTTCCTTTTTTCTAAAACGGGATAATGTATGTGATGTATCAAGGCAAGTTATCCTCCATCCGTTTCTTTTCCTGTCCTATATCACGCTATTTCTATTCTCACCGTTCCTTTGAGACCATCATACCAGTTTCTCCTGCTCTGACTCTCCCCTTTTTCTTTCCTTGCTCTGACGCCATAGACAGCAAGAAATACACACACACACACACACACATATATATCTGTCTGGTTTCGTATTTCTTTATCCCTGTCGCTTCTTAATATGTATGTGAAATGCCGTTGTCTCCCTCTGTACACGTCTCTCTCGATATGTGTGTGTCTGTTGGGACTGTCAGGAGAATCTGGCTCCACGCCTCACAGGAACACCCCCGCTGTGTGTGTTTGTGACATCTCGTGCTGCTTCTGCTCCTGCAGTGTATATGTTCCTCCTGAATCTTAAGCATTTTTGATGGCAGGAAAAGTATTTGTTCACTTAGATTAAACCCATATTCGAACACCCACTACATGTGGGCACAAGTGACTGATAAAGCAACAGAATTTTTACACCTGCATAATCTGCCTTCTGTGTAGATACCTGGTTGCCAATTCCACAGGATCATACAGAGGTGAAGTTTTGGGGGAAAGATGTTGCAACTTGGGCTGGTGTAAGGGTAATGGATAAAACTGAATCCTAAACAGAGCTGAGCTTCATTGCTTACACTTAAAATTTTTATTTTCCTTGCCCTTTCAACATTTTAAAAAAATGGCATGGGGAAAGCTTGGGATTAACAGCAGGGAGAGCATTCAAGTTACATGTCTTGGCAGATCTTTCTCCTTTTTTCTTTGTATACCCTCGGTTTTTACTTTATTTCAACTTTTATTATAAAGAGTCCATGCCATACAAGTTTGTTACATGAGTAACTATGTGATGCTGAGGCTTGAGGTTCCATGGATACCATCACCCAGGCTATAAGCATAGTACCTACCTCCCACTTTTGAAGAGAGCTTGTGTATAGTAAGCTCAGTTTCCCCTGGAAAGCAGTAACATTAACCTTTTTTGGCCCAAAGTTTTGTTTCGTAACCAAATTTAGATGAGAGGCGCCTCCACAGTTAGGAAGGTCCTCCATGGGCACAAACTAATAAAAATGTTTATAGAATTTTGGTCATTTGATAGAAACAAAATGAGGAGCCATCCTCTGAAAAGGAGCTGGAAGTCCTTATGAGCTGTGGTGTGTTGGAAGGTCTTGGTCAGGTTATTCCTGGTCAGGTTTGGGAGCAGTTCTGCCCCATGCTGGGAAGACTGGGACTCCCAGTTTCTCCCAGTCACAGATTCCCTCTACCCGAGAACCTTGAGCACTCTTAAACCAATGCCTCTGGAAGCCCCTTATCTGTTCAGACCCATCACTGTGTAACTAAATAAAGGAGAGAAAATTCATGTATAAGAACATGGAGTTGCAGAGGAGACTCTGTTGAATCAGCTGACAAACCACCAGTTTGAGGAAGAGGAAAAGCCCTGGCCTGGTGGGAGTCTCCGCTCAGTCTAGTTCTCGCTGAGCCCAGGAGTCAGGACTGTTGGGCAGAGGGGAACATGCCTGTGTTTATTCCGTCAGATGGCACTTACGTCTTCCTGCTGGATCTCTAGACACTAACTCTCCTATAGTTTCCTCATGTACTAGGAGGGGAGATGGACTGCCATAAAGGAATAAAACACAGTCACTCACTGCAGTTAGGAGAGACATGAGCAAGAGGCCAGGGAAGCCCAGAGGAGGACAGGATTCCTAATAAAATCCTGACTAGGCGTGGGAAGGAAGAATTAAGGACTGTTTCTTCAGAGAGGTGTTGGCTTTAGCTGAAGAAAGAGGAAGGGCCTTTAACTGGGCAGATTAAGAGTGGTGACCTGGAGGGACTGAGGAGAAGGACATTCCAGGAAGAGGAAGGCCTGCAGGGAGTCTTGAAAGAAGTCAGTCCAGGAGGCTCTGGCAGAAATGAGGGACCTTGTTTTGGGAATCTCCTAGCATAGCAATAGGGGGGTCTGTGCCTGATTCTGTAAATAATGTTTTATTGGAACACAGCCCATCCATTCGTTCAGCTGTTATCTGTGGCTGCTTTTTCATGACAACAGCAGAGTTCAGTAGTTGAGACAGGGACCTTGTGGCTCACAGAGTCTTAAATATTTACTTTCTGGTTCTTTACAAAAAAAGTGCTAACCCTTAACTTTATTCCTTGAAATTCTTAATGAATGGACCCACACTGTCAGCTTTGGGGCTTTGCTCGCAGGCCTTCATGGACCTGTTAGTTTATTTTCTCATTCAATGAGCCTGCTTCACCCCGCCCTACCACACCACCGTGTCAGTAGCCTCTAGTTGGCAGTGAATATTCCAGGAGTAGAATAGTATCTGTGGTGTAAAGGGGGTGGCATTTCCCTGCCAGGTACCCCCTAAAATGTCTGATTACCAACTGCAGGCTCTCATAGACTGTGCCTAATTTCGTGGAACCTCTGCTGCTGCTCATTTGCTTGGCCAAAACCCCCCATCATGCCAAGTAAGCATTGGCAAGCAAAATCAGAATTAAAAATAGTGATAGGTATAATGGTCGCTGCAAAATACTATTCTCTGGTGAGGCATTCCATTTGTTAGGGCTTCTGGAGCTCTTTCCACCTCAAGTCTGCATCTATTTCAAAAACACAGAATGCTTTTCCAGAAATGTCTGTGCATTTGAAATGCTGTTTTCCCAGATATAGCAAGTGAAAGTTGTGTGGAATTATATAGCAAATGCCAACTTTTAAGCACCTACTGTGGTCTGTGGTATCTGCCATTGGGCATTCCAGGCCAGCCTCTTGATGGGTGTTGATTTAGTAAGAGCTGGATGAAATAGAGGCAGAGTCATTCCCATTTTACACATCATGCAACAGGGGCTCTGACAAGCCAAGTAACCTCCGTTTTAACTACTAAGAGACCCATGAGAAAGAGGGTATTTTTTTATGCTCTAGTTATTCTTAGCAGATAGAGGGCTTATTGAAATACTTGAATCAAGAGGTCAAGAATTTTGGTGACAGACTATCAAAATAACTGGTTTTCAAGGGACAGGTGAAATCCTCCTTAGCACCAACTTCCGTCTCAGTCCCAGCAGCCACTGAGTTATTTCAATACCCCTGTGAAATAATATTGCAGTTTGGAATCTAGTTTTTGATTATTGCTTTCTTTAGAAAACTATCAGCAGTAAGTAATGATATTTTCCAGACATTTCTGGAAAATATAGTAGGTCTGAAAAGAGAAACGTGTAGGTTTAGGGTTGTCCTGTTTTCCGACTAAAATGGTCATTCCTACGTAACAATGTGATCATAATCTTCCCCTCTATAACATTATTCCACCATGTTCTTAGGGTAAAGATCAGGGTACTTATTGTGGCATTTGAAGCCTTTCCTGTTGCATCTCCTGTCTGGCCTGAGTACCTCACACTTCTTTCTGTTGGAGACCACCTCAGTTCCTTGAACGGCATCGTTAGATTGTCCCTTTGGCTGGCTCACTCCCACTTTGTCTTCACATCTTGGCTAAGATGTCACTGGATGCAGGAGGCCTTCTTGGAGCTTTGGAGAGTAGGCTGGGTGTCTTTCCTTGCCCAGCCCTGCCGTAATGCCTGTTATACTGTTGTTCCATTGTTCATTGTTCATTTATTTGTATGTTCTCCACCATTAGACTGTAAGCTCCATTTAATTTTTTTAATCGACATAATTATATATATTCATAGGGTACTTAGTGATGTGATGTTGTGATACATAAAATATATAGTGACCAGATCAGGGTAATTAGCATTTTCATAATCTCAAACATTTCTCATTTCTTTATAGCTAGACAGGAGGAATAAGCTCTGGTGTTCTATAGCACTGTAGGATGGCGCTAGTTCACAATAATATATTGTTTTAAATAGCTAGGAGGACTATATTGAATGACCCTTAGCTTCTCAGAAGGAGAAGGAAATGACCCTTAGCTTCTCAAAGGCATTTGTTTTCATTTTGACCCTACAGTTACAAGGAATAGGAACCCATTCAAACTAGCTAATATAAAAGGAGTTTATTGTGAGGAAATATTTGAAACAATAAGGAGACCTTCATGGAAATCTAAGGACTAGGTCTGTAAGAAGCTGTATCCCGTGGACGCAGGGTGGGAGTTCCTTAGGATGGTGCAGATACATCTTATGACTCTCTGTGCACCAGCTCTATTCACATCTCTCTGGCCTACTGGCTTTCTCAGCTCATGCAGTTGTCTTCACGAGGTCTGTTCATGGCCCCAGCTTGCCCACATAGCCTAGAATGTCCCTACCATTGCTGGAGGACCCTCGTAATCACATGGCTCTATTTTCTGCTCCCTGCTTGTTTGGTTTCTTAGTTGCCCAATTGCAGATTTCTAAGCAGGCACTCTGGTTGGCCTGGCTCACTTTTTTTTTTTTTTTTTTTTTTTTGAGACGGAGTCTCGCTCTGTCGCCCAGGCTGGAGTGCAGTGGCACGATCTCGGCTCGCTGCAAGCTCCGCTTCTCGGGTTCACGCCATTCTCCTGCCTCAGCCTCCTGAGTAGCTGGGACTACAAGCACCCGCCACCGTGCCTGGCTAATTTTTTGTATTTATAATAGAGACGGGGTTTCACTGTGGTCTCGATCTCCTGACCTTGTGATCCGCCCGCCTCAGCCTCCCAAAGTGCTGGGATTACAGGCGTGAGCCACCGCGCCCGGCTGGCTCACTTTTTTAAGCCGGGCCACACATGTTGTCATAGGTCTCTGACCAGCCTGTAGGTGGGCTGTCCTCAGGTCAGTGATCACTGTGAACCAGTCAGCTATGTTCGAGCTGGAGGGGCTCCATGTATCAGAGCATGGCTGCCAACAGAGACCTTTCTTTTTTGGTTTCTCTCCCTACCTCTTGGCTTACAAGAATGTTAGGCTTGTGTTTTATAGATCTCATTGTATCCTTTGTTGTTTTTCATTCTTCACAGATATCATTAACGGAGCTCAAGAAAAATGTGTATTGCCTCCTATGGACGGCTACCCCCACTGTGAGGGAAAGATCAAGGTAAGGCAGAGGCGAGCAAGGTCATTTTCATCATCCCCAGTCTGCACAAACACCTCTTCTTTTTCCTTTCCCTTCCTTTTCCTCCTCAGTGATACAAATGGGTGAGTGAGCCCTTGACATGAATCATTTATGGGGCGCCTCCATTCTGCCGGCTTTGGCTGTGGCCATGACAACCCTGCTCTGCCTGTGTCAACCATGTGGGGTTGGTCAACAGTGGCACTCACTGGTCAGCATGAGAGAGCCTGGACCATTTCAGGCACCTGCTAAGTCTTTGAAGCTGACTTCCCCTCTCTGTTTCCCAGCCTCCAGCAGGTGATCCTTCGAGGACCAATGACAAGGAACTGCCGTTATTTAGTGTCCAACTCCCCACCCTCTCAGTCCCCAGGCTCCTGCTCTGAAGCCTTCAGATTGTGGTTTAAGTGTCACATTTGCATTTGTGGTTGAGTACCCAGAGACACTTGGCTGCTCTTTTACTTGGCTGCTTTTTTTTTTTTTTTTTTTTCAGAAATCCTATTTGTATGGCCTGTCCCTGGGGAGACCACTCCCTGCTCAGTAGTTTTCAGAGAAAAGTGTCCATTCAGGGATGTAGTTATGACAGTGGGACCAGCCCCAGAAACATTTGGGTGGTATCCATGTGGGCCGTCTGTCAACACTCACTTGTGCCCTCCTGCACACACTGTTTCAGGTACCATGCTGTGGGCTGTTGGAACTGGAGTTCCTGGAGGGGGTGTAGATATCAGAGTCCCATTAGGCACTTGATCTTGGTAAAAATCCCCGCGCCACCGCCTCTCCTGGGCTTTATTGCCTGCTGTACCACAACCTTACTCTCCACTCTAAGCACTTCTGCTGAGGCCTAATGTAAGCCAGTGTCTTCCTGTTAATCATCCAAGGGGGTGAGCTGCGCACCTGGCTATCTTGACCTTAGCTCAGTGACTCTGTCACTCAGTTCTTTAGGCCACAGCTTGAGCCATCCACTCCGTCTTCACCATTCCTATCCTCGCCTTCCCTGTCAGCAGATGTGGAGGGCCTGTGAATGGGCTGCTCAGAGATGTTCTTCTTGTTTCAGTGGATGAAAGACATGTGGCGTTCAGATCCCTGCTACGCAGACTATGGAGTGGATGGGTCCACCTGCTCTTTTTTTATTTACCTCAGTGAGGTGAGTAGCTTTCTGTGGCTCCTGGGGGCAGATGTGACTTGTTGGACTGTTCTGTAGCTGAGTCTGAAATTTGAAAAGCTTAAAAACGTGTGGTATTTTTATATGGAGGACCAATGATTCCGCCCTTCATTACTTTCCCTACTCCTCAGGAAGGATGATTTTTTTTTTCCCCCTTGAGGGAAAAATGAGTTAGTTAGCTATTTCCTTTTTTCCTAGTTTTTTTTTTAATTGTAGTAAAATAGACATAACATGACATTTGCCATCTTAACCATTTTCAAATGTATAGTTCAGTGGCATTAAACATATTCACATTATTGTTTTAACCATCACCACTGTCCATCTCTAGAATTCCTTTCATCTTGCAAAACTGAACTTCTAGACTCATTGAAATCTAACTCCCCATTAAGACCCTGCTTTCAGTTATTTTGGAAATATACCCAGAAGTTAAATTGCTGGATCATATGGTAATTGTATTTTTAATTATGGGGGGAACTGCCATACTGTTTTGTACAGCAGCTGCCCCATTTTATACCAGCAGTGCGCAAGGATTTTAATATCTTCATATTCTCACCAACACTTGTTATTTTCTGGTTTTGTTTTTTGAATAATACAATTATTTAGAGAAAGGATCATTCAGCTTGGGTAGGTATAAAGGAGTCAATATTGGGAAATCTCCTGGGTTTGTCAAGAATAGATGCCATATGAGCTGAATCTTGAAAATACATGTAAGAAGTAAGTTAGGTAAATGAAAGACAAAAGTGTATTCAAGGCAGAGAAACAACATAGGGAAAGTTATGGTATCAGTTGCACAGTGGGAGTGGCGGGACAATGGACATAGGCAGAGGCTACCGCTTGGGAAGTATGGAATACTCTCCCAAAACCTGGGAATGTGGGTAGACCTACCTGCTGATAGACTTTATCTTCAGGTCCTCTGTGCCATCAACATACTCATCCATGCTGCGGTGGAATTCAATGTAGCTGAAGCTCCTGCTCTCTGTGTAGCTATTTTTGGAATTCTCCCAGTGACACTTGAGTACATTGGGGGCATTCTGGGCCCATACATATGCATGTCTATAGCAGTCATTCCAGTTGTCATTAGCACATGTATGCTCAATTTGGTACCCTGAGATTTAGATGAACATGTGAGAGCTCTTATCTTTTAAAACACTTCTTTTTCTCTCATGAGGACATCACATCTGTACTCTTGGACATGGGTAGTGATGTTTTATGAATTGCCTCCAGTAGATGTTTTTCTTGTGTACAAGGAGCCTGCATAGGATCAAAGCAGGGCCAAGAGTGGGCTCCAGATCTTTAGAGAGGTTGCCATCTCAGTCACCAGGGCCACCCTATTCAGATTCAGCGTTTGAGTCACTGCTCATAGTAGGGATTAGTGTGTGGATCTGAACAGCAGTCTATGTCCTCCTCCTCCTTTTACAGCCCAGGAAGCATTTACTGGTTTATTATAACAGAAACAAGTCAGAAACAGCCAGAGGGAAGAGATGCGTAAGACAAGTTTGGGAGGGAAGTAACTAAAAGTTAGTTACTTTTACCTTTTTTCCCCTAAATCTGAGCCTCATTTTCATTTGTACCCTTGAATTTAAATAGCAGCTTTTGTATTTTTTTTTTTTTTTTTAACGATTGCAGAGAACTTTATGGGTCACTTGAATCTCGTACAGGCTTTAAGGATATCCGTTTCACCTAGAATCTAGGGAATCAAAACCGGCTGGCTTCCCCTTTATGGACTGGGGGAGGAAGGGGTCTTTGGGATCTTGTGGTTCTAGCCAATTCTGAGGTCGTGCCTCCACAGACCCTCTGCTGCCCTTTTTTTAATTCTGTCCCCCGTTTTTGTTTGCTGTTGCTGTTGTTATTTGACCAATAATAACAGCTGGTGATACCATGCAGGAAGGAGAATACCTTCATTTTTGAGGCTAAATAAAATATTCTTGCCATGGTTTTCCTTGTGGGATTCAGATGCCTCTCTTTTCTTTGCCATAGGGTGATGGGGATAGAGGCCAAACAGTATTGCTAATAGGACATGTGGCCCTGATTCTGTGGGGTTTGCCCCTCTCTGACTATTACTTCTTTTGCCTGGGTACATTGAAGTCACACAAAAAGTGTGTGACTTGGGGGGTCCAACCAGGCTCCATGATTTTTTAGGGGAAGAGGGACAAGGTTGTTCCATTGCCATCATGAAAACCCCAGAGCTAATTCTAGTTAAAATACCTCTTGGAAATGAACAGCTCTGAGAGTTGTGTGTATGAGGCTCCTTATTAGCAGGCTGCTGGCAAATTGACTTGGTAGCATTTATTTGAGTTTCTGGCTTCGGGCTTGGGTGGCCTGTGGTCTGCCTTCTCATTTCCTTCTCCAGAGGAGTGAAGCCTGGGGCCACGTGTTGACCTTCACTCTAGTTGAAAAGTCAATTAGAAGTACCTCTCCTGCCCTGAGGAAAAGGTTCCTCATTTAGTTTAATTTTCAAAAGTTTTATTCCCCTTTCTACATGATAGAATTTAGCCAGAGTCTGACCAGGCTCCATGATTGACAAGCTGGGCTGATTTCATGCTTTCCTAAGCCTTTGCATGTTGGGGTGTGCTGCTGAGGCAGAGGATTTTCATGCCCATACTTCCATCTCCTGGGAAGGCATAGAGAGTGTTCCAAATGGAAGAGACTGCAGTTACTTGTGACTTCTTCCCCTCCCTTTGTCACACCTCACCCCTGTCCCCAATGAAGTATATGGCTAAGCTGAGAGAAAAGTGAGGTTCTGGGGAAGGGAAGTAGGGAGGAATATGGGATGAAGAGACATGATGGATCACATACACTTGCTATCTGAGGCTGAGTATTTCATTTTGGAACCAGCAACTATGTTTTCTCTTCCTGAGGTGTGAAATATGCTTCATTAGCCCATTCCACTCTCTTCTTACGCAGATGATCGGGTGGTCTTTTTGTTACTTGGCTGAATTCTATTCAGTGAGCAGTTATTGAATTCTTTGTCAACAGTTAATGAAAACACATTTTCTTGACACCATGTTATGTGTTAATCATTGTAAAAGCAACAGGAAGAAAGGATGCAGGTAACTGAACCAGGAGAAGGGGTGGAGATAACTAGGGAACTCTTCTTAAAAGTTTTAATCTGAGTGTAACCCTGAACCTCTGGGCTTTTCTATGTTATCATAGCATTGTAATAAGTACCCTATGAGAGTTAAAGGAGAATTTCACCAATATGGTCCCTTCAATAGGAATACTACCTTAGAGTCTTACACCTGACTTCAGCTTCTGTTTCTGCTGCTTTCTAAGCTCTATGAGGTCACTTAACCTTTTGTGCCTAGGATTCTTCCTTTATAAAATAATAGGAATGTACTTAGAGTACAACCTGGCAGATAAAAGACACTCAATAGCATGACTGACACTTCTATGGTTTTAAATGCTGTGATCTTTTGAGAATAGTTGTGGGGTGTCACTTAGCCTTGGACATGATATGTGGCAACATTGTTCCGTTTTTGAATTACAATCAATTTCAGTTCTCATTTACTAATGTAATACAATTTTAGATCCTTTGACTTCTGGTAATATAGAAATTCAGCTGTTTACCTTAATGCCTGTTTTTAAATTGACAACATTTGTATGTATTCGTGGTATACAACTTGATGTTTTGGTATGGGTCTGCATTGTGGAATGGCTAAATCAAGCTAATTAACATGTGCATTTCTTTACATACATATTTATTTGTGGTGAGAGTATTTTCCCTTGATTTGTCATTTCTGGGCATGATACTTGTGTTTGCACTGGAATTAGCTGCACGTATGGAGTCAGTGCACCCTACCATTGTTAATGTGAGATTAGTAGAGATGTTTTGTAACACCAGTTAATTCCTTCTTAGTATTTTTTAAATCTTGGACATTATCTGTGGCTTTGTAGGAGCTGTTGGTTCACTTGTGTGGGTTTATTCTCTCTTGCTGTCTTGAAACTTTCCTTATTCTGTTATTTAGGTAAACTCTGAAACCTGCGTTTTTATTTCCTGTATCATCTCCTAGGTTTCTCTTGCAACTGGGGAGATGATTGAGAGAGACATCTTCATTTGAGTTGTTAACGTGATTAACACATGCACCAGTGACTTTTATTCTATTCCTAATCCTTATTGAAAGAGCCAATTCTTGTTTTGAACTATGTTTAACATCAGAGCTTTGACAGATGCCAAAAGGACATGAAGTAAAATGTCTCTTGTATAGTCAGTCACTAGTTGAATTGGAGCATTTAGATTCAGACCCATCTTAAGAGACGATACTCTTCCTTCATTTTTCTTTCTTACGGTTGTCTCAGTGCACCAGCTTCTGCTGAGTTATGGGATTAGAAACTTGTTAGTACTTTCACCCTCACCAACTTGTAGTCTATGGATATTTTTTGGTTAAATCCCAGGAAGCAAAGCCATCAAGATTTTTCCTTAAAATACCCCCACAGCTGCTTGTTATAATGTCTCTGACACTGTACTAGAGATGGTAGAGATAAAAGCCGAGTGGTTGCCCTTCTTTAGAGGTGCGACTTTGGGGGCAGACAAGAGAAGAATGAAATATTATTGATTCTCCCCTGTACCAGACACCTCAAATACAGAACAACCCCATTTTATTTAAGTGACTTCAGCATCTGAGGATTTTAATATCCACGGGGGTCTTGAAACCAGTCCCCAACAGATACTGTGGGTCAGCTATACACGATCTTATTTAAACCTCTCGCCAACTCTGAAGAGTAATGGAGAGCCAAGTCATAGATAGCTCAGAGAGGTCAAGTCACTTAGCCCCAAAGTCCTGCACTTTTCATTCCTGCTGTCTCCTTTGTGATGAAGGAAAACTGAACTTGGATAGCTGACTTGTAGCCATTGACTTCGCATTCAGTTGTATGGTTAAATCCACTTGTGATGGAAAAATGGCTCTAATTTAGCTAACTTCAATGAATAGATCTTCACTGCTAGTTTGCTAATACTCCATCATTGCTAGTTTTCTAATACTCAT